TACTCAGGAGCAGCTTGCCCACCAGCTCCATGAGAGGTATCATCTAAATGCCCGCTCCATTAAATTTCACACTGGGTGCCCCTTATCCATAACGACACAGATTACCTCTCAGTGCCCTGACTGTGCCCCTTATCATAATTCTCCCAATGAGGGGGTAAATCCCCGGGGCCTCAGGGCCAACCATCTCTGGCAAATGGATGTCACTCACCTGCCGCAGGCAGGGAAATTAAAATACATGCATGTCTCGGTAGATACGTATTCTAAACTGATTTTTGCCTCTCTTCACTCAGGAGAGAAAATTAAAGATGTTATTTCTCATTGCCTGCAGGCCTTTGCCTACATGGGCGTACCCGATGCCCTAAAAACGGACAATGGCCCTGCCTATGCCAGCAATCGCTTTGCTGCCTTTTGCAGGGAACATCACATTGTCCATTCTTTTGGTATTCCTCACAACCCCACGGGACAGGCTATTGTGGAGCGCACCCATGCCACTCTCAAACAGTATTTTAAGAAAATAAAAAAGGGGGAGTATGTTACCTCCCCCAATATTCAGTTATCTACCATACTTTACATTTTTAATTTTTTGACCATAGACCGTAATAATTTGTCTGCTATGGAGAGACATTGGAACAAACCCTCCCAGTCCTTGGGATGGGTCAGATGGAAGGACTTAATTACAGGAAAATGGCAGCCACCCACCCCCCTATTAGCTAGGGTCCGAGGGGCTGTTTGTGTTTTCCCTCCAGGAAGTGAGAAGCCTATTTGGGTCCCCGAACGGTGCATCAGGCATGTCGACCCCAATACTACTCCGGATACTAGGAATGCTCACCATGATAAAGATGATCCAACCATTGCTGAACACTCAGGTAAGGGAAATATGGGCGTTGGTGAGTATTCCCCCCCATGTTGATGCCAGTTAGTCATTCCAGCTCCCTGTTCATCAAATTTTATAACACCAATAATACATTGGGAGCGGCTGCCGCCAATGAGATTAAAAAGTCAGAAACTAGACATTCTGAGTTTCCCCCTCCTAAGCCTGATACCAGGGTCAGAAAGTAGGGGAATCCAAGAGATTGCCAGCGGCATACGCCTTTAATACCAGCGGCATACGCCTTTAATCCCAACACGCCTTTATGATGGAACATCCTGGGTTGAAAGTTGGATTGAAAATGGGTGAATAGCTGGGCGTTGGCAGCACACGCCTTTAATCCCAGTACTCGGGAGACACAGGCAGGCAGATCTCTTGAGTTCAAGGCCAGCCTGGTTTACAGAGCAAGTTCCAAGACAGCCTCCAAATAATACAGAAAAAAAAAATTGGTAACAAGCTGGGCGGTGGTGGCACATGCCTTTAATCCCAGCACTTGGGAGGCAGAGGCAGGCAGATCTCTGTGAGTTCGAGGCCAGGCTGGACTGACAGCCTCAAACAATACAGAGAAACCCTGACTTAAAAAAAATGGGTGAAAAAAAATTTTGTAACAGTAAAGAGGTACTGGTATTAAGTAAAGAAAAATAAAAAGACAAAGGTATATACAATGGAAAAATTTTGTTTACATTTAAGTTCTATTTTGTGAGTCATCTCTAAAAACTTTTGGCCAAAAGCTTGGCCTCTCTACCTTGCATCTACAGTTACAAGGAGTAGGTACAGCTGTACCCCATGACTGTAGCTCAAATGGAGGAATGATAAAGAACATACAGGACTTTTTAACCCTTTTAGTTCAAGGATTGGCTGGAGTTGTTCTTTTACATAAATTTCAATTAAGGAAGCTTCATTGCAACAGACTAATCATGACCTAGGGAAAAAGGATGACTAAAAGATGCATGTATGTTCTGAATGTATGGTGTGGCCACACCGGTATGTATGAAATGTGATTGTGAATGCATGAGTGTGAACTGCTTATATGATTAAAAGGATACTTAAATCCCTTCAAAAATAGTTAAGAAGCTACCTAGATTGCTTTAAATATAGACAAAAGGAACATCCAGCCAGTCAATGTTTTTACAGAAAAATTTAAGATGCAAATGAGGCCTTGTCAGCTAGTGAGAGCTCTACAGGTTAGATTGGGAAAGACTGCTCACAGACTTCAAATAATTTTCACAAGTTATTTGGACACATTATAGTTTACAAACTTTGAGTGATTTTCAGAAGTTTTGGGGAAATATTTAATGGATATGTCCTTTTTAATGGTCATCTACAAATAATCTAAATTTACCTAGATAGTCAACCAAGGAGGGTAGACAAATCCTTCTACTATTATGGTCCAGCTTCAACAGTTCAAAAAAAACCTTTTTTTTAGAAAATAAAAAAGGGGGAATAATGTCCCCAGTCCCCACATGACTCATCAAATAATACACTCCTCATTTAAAAATTTTATAATGTGAATGCCAGTGAGCTTCAGACAGATTCTGGCATGATGGAACTTGAGCAACCATTGCTCAGGTCAAATGGAGACATCCATGCACTAAACAGTGGAGAAGACCCTAATTTGGGGTCGAGGGCATGTTTGTGTTTTCTTGTAGGAAAAGAATAAAAGCTTCAGCATGGAGCAGAGAAAAACTGGACCTGAGACCATGGGAGCCTACCTAAGCCAGTTTGAGTGAGATCTCCTAAATCAGTGTTCCTGACCCTTGCTGTCCTCGTATCTAGAGCCTAAGAAAGAAAGAAAACAGTCGGTTCGAGATTTCCAGTTTCTCAACAGACCTGCTGCATCAACCTTCCGGACCCATGAGTTTTCATCGTGAAGCCAATAGAGAAAAAAGGACCCATTTAAAACATTTGGACATTCGTATGGACTGTGATGAGGGGCAAAAGCCTCTTTTCAGTAATTGAACAGGACATGGTCACTTGAAATATCAGACTTGATGGTTCCTGTTTCTGGAATCACGACTAGGCCAGTGTATTTTTCTAGAGAGATGCAACTTGTCCTAATGCGACAAAAAGGAGACTTTGACTCAAGTCGCATAATCAGCTGGCGTTAAATCAACAAACTGCATCACCACAGGAACAAATTGGTGCTCTGTGGATAGTGCAACAAGCCTATTGTTCATATTTTTTATAATGCTACATGTGTAACATCAATGATTGTACCTAATGTATCTGTGCAAGTGCACTTTCTAAATGCTTTCCTGAGCAGATCTTGGAACAATTGTAAACTTCATCAAATTGTAAATGTAAATCACATGCGGGTTACCCTTGTAACAGAATGTAAATCACGTGTGGGTTACCCTTGTAACAGACGAAGGCTGGTAGAATGTTATGGCCCAGATCTGGTGATGGGTACGGTGATGGAGAGGCGCTATGTCAATGGGGGTCCTGGAAATGGTGGCAGTGGTGGTAGGCATTCTGGCTTTATGCCGGGCTCAAAGGTGCCTTGTTCCAGAGGCAAGAGATCCGTAACCAAGTATTGCTTAGCCTAGCCCATGGCAATCCCGATAGCCATGAAGGTTGGTTACAGATGATTTAAAGTTGGGGTGCTCTGATGACGGGCCACCTGTGGGGAAGACCCCTCCCGCCTAAGACAGGGGTTCAAGGTCCCCCAAGGATGGGAAAGGGAGGGTGACCCTACTTGACCTAAGCCAGGAGTGCCTCATTTAAAAATAAAAAGGGGTGAATTGTGGGAACACCAGACCTTGAGCAGAGACCCACTTCCCCTTCTGCCTGGGAGTAGGCAGCTGTAAGACAATGTTTACTAAAAACAATACAATGCCTGGGGGCATTAAGTTCCTGGAAAAGGCCTGCCGGCAGAAACCACCCTGAGCTCGACCTTGTCCAAAGACTAACTGCCTCTTCTGCCACGCCCAGATCAGTTTCTGGGGTCAGAGCAGAACCAGCCAGGGTAGAGGAGGGAGCAGAAGCTTCTCTGGTGGGAGCCTTTCTTAGGAAGTTTTCTTGAACCTTTTTGGGGCCTGCTTAAAGTTTTCTTTACATCATTGAACAAGTCTCTGTGTTGTCAATCCCTGACACCCTCCGCACGTGTTCTCGGACACAGGCCGCGCAGCAGACGCGACAAACGAATACACAGTTGTCTTGGGGTTTCTATTGCTGTAAAGCAACACCATGTCCACGGGAACTCTTATAAGGAAAACCTGTAATTGGGGTGGCTTGCTTACAATTCAAAAGTTCAGTCCATTATCATCATAGCAGGAAGTATGGTGGCCTGTAGGCAGACACAGAGTTGGAAAAGCAGCTGAGAGTCCTACATCTTGCAGGCAACAGGAAATAGTCTGAACACTGGGCCATATTTTGAGCAAAAGAGACCTCAAAGCCCATCCCAACAGTAACACACTTTCTCCAACAAGGCTATACCTACTTCAACAAAGCTACACTTCCTTTGGGAATTTTCTTTCAAACTCAGGATCCTATGCGGGACCATGGCTCAGGAACACAGGTTCATGTTATGCCAATACCATGTTCCAACATGAAATTGGTTACAAGGGCTTTTATTCGTTACAGAACAGATGAAAGTCGTGAGTCAAGACATTCATCAAACGCCTTGGTGGGGACCACAGGACAATCTCTGACATAGGTCTGGGTCCTAGCTGGTGATTGTCAGCTAGGTCAGTGTCCTAGCTGATGATGTGTTGGCTTTGGGTTGGTAGAAGTTGGGGGTCAGTTAAGAAGACATTTGGACAGTCAAAAGGATGTTAGCGCTGGACATGGCTTGGGAGGCAAAGGCAGGTGACTCTATTTGAGAGTCTGGAGGTGGCTTCCTTAACATAGCCAGTTCTAGAACAACCAGGGCTACACAACAATGAGACCTGTCTCAACCTCTCTACCATGCCAAACCAAACAAAGGATGCGAAGGGCTATGGAGAGAAGTAAAGCTCGCCCAGTATAACTCGGTACTGTATTTATGACATTCTAACTCTCCACAAACAAGATTCAAATCAGGTATTCAGTCCAGTAAAATTTCCAACATGGGTGGATTCATTTTTTCCTCCAGGGAATTTACAGTAGTTAAGTTTATTTTTTTTCTTAAGGGTTTAAAAAAAAAAAAGCCTTATTAGCTCATTTGGTTTGTTTATTGTACTATATAAGTAACTGACAGAAACATAGATATAAATATTTTTATAAAGCAGATGTCCTAGACACAACAGTCTGGAACTTGATGAACTGTATTGGCTTTCTGTCTATCTCAACTACACATACAAAGAATTACACAAAAGACATGTATATGCAAAGTAAGGCATATTATTTACAATCTACTTTTTGAATTAAAAAAATCTTTATCTAAAAAATTCAGATAATGCCCAGACTTAACATTTCCACAGAAATGTTACTTTGTTGGGTTTGGTCATGTTTTCTTCATTTACTTTTGGGCCCAAAAATATAAAACCCCAAGGAAGGTAAAGCTGTTAAAAATATGTAAATACTTGTGGTGATTATCTGAATCACTTGGCACTCACAAGAATATTGCTTTGAAAATCAAGTTAAACCCAGCACTCTGAAGGCAGAGGCAGGAAGATCTCTGCATATTCAAGGCCAGCCTTACTCACTACAGAGTGAGTTCCAGGACAGTCAGGGTTGTTACACAGAGAAACCCCGTCTCAAGAAATCAAAACCAAGAAAGAAAAAAAAAAATAGTTCAACTTAATAGGAGGTAAATGTAATCATATCCAATGCTTCAATATTTCATTCTGATTTTGGTTGCAGGTTGTATTTTTGCGGCTGGAAAAAGTTTTCTTCAATGGCACTGACTAGCTCATCTAGTTCCTTTGTCAGCTGCTCCAGATCACTGAAAAATATAAGGGGGAAGGGGAAAATTCAGATTAGTGGGTTATTCCAATGCAAAACAAGTACGCATATTTGATGCTTTTTTGAGACAGTCTCACTAAGTCACTATGCACCTCAAACTCACCATGTAGAATAGGCTGATCTCAAATTCACAGAGACCCCCCTGCTTCTGCCTCCCAGAGGCTAAGCATGCATTAGCACGGCATGCCCGCCTTGATTTGGCTTTGAGATCAGGATCTTATTATGTTTCCCAGGCAGTCTTTGTGATCACAACAGTCCTCCTACCTCAGCCTCCTGAGCACTGGGATTGGGGGTTACATGTCTGAGCCACTACTCCCAGCCTCAGAGCAAAATTAAAAATTTAAAACACGTATTGAGTGCACTTTAAGGATTTAGTTTTTAATTATGTGCACGTGTGCATCTGAATGCAGTTGCCTGTGGGGCTGGAGTTACAGGTGGTTGTGAGTTCTCCAACACTGGTGTTAGGAAAAGAACTAGGGTCTTCTGTAAGAACAATTCACATTTTAATAACTGAACCATCTCTCTAGCCCCTTCCTACTGTATTTTAAAATGCTCCCTTCATGGACCCAGTGAGACTGAAACTAAACTGCAAAAGGGCAGAATTCAGAAAAGCACAAATCTCCATGAAGTTCTTCGTGGGAACACATTTGTTGACTTAGGAGGAAAAAAAATCCCAGGAGGCAATATGCATTATTTTCCCTAAAGGTTTTCCAATCCAAGGAATAAACAAAATTCCTTTTTGTTCTTCTAAGAATTTTAAAGAACCACAGTTTTGCTGCTAGCATCCCCAGGAATCTACCATGCCTGCATCTAACACCACAGAGCAAACGTTCCAGGCTTCCCTCGTGCTTCAAAGCCTGCTCAACTCCGTGAAGCCCTAGGGCCTCCCTGCAGCTGTCCCTGACGCTGTTTGTCTTCGGGTCACAGAAGCCTCTTCACGGTGCAAGAAACATTAATAAGTCTATCAGATACTATAAAACCTGTGTTTAACAAGGAATGCAAATCTTTTCACTATCCCTACCTTATAAAACCTGTCTGCAAATATTTTAATGCCCCACCCATGCTGTAAGACCCATGTTTACACGAAGGTCTACTGAAGTGAATTAAGCAGAGAGCCCTTTCCCCTTTCCTTTGTGCCCATTCTTTAAAACTAGCCAGACTCCAGCCAAGGGGGAGAAGGCAGTCACACTTCTGGCCTCCCTGTGCGTGCTCTTCTGAAGGCACCCTCGTGATCAAGGGTCGGATTTGCCCTGGCAGTCACATCAGTTGGGGTGATGGTCTTTGTCTTTGCCCCAACTTATTTCTATAAGAGGTAGGAAATGAGAGCCACAGTGTTGGATCTGTATTGCTCTACCGCCACCACCACCAAAACGAAAGGAAACTAAAAACAAACAAACCAAAAAGAACCACAACTAAAGGATAAACAAAAATATAGGGCAACTAATCCCTTTAAGACAGCCAAGTTTTGAAACCCGTAGGAAGCTTTTATTTGGGTACACCAGGTCCGTGAATGTAAACAATACCTAAGCCTAGCTCCCAGGGGAATGGATTTCTAGCAGCTTATAGAGTCTAATGTGAGGCAGCACACAGCTGAGTTTGGAAATTAACACTTTGCACACTTTCTATTACTTCCTTCTTGGCCACCTGCAACACTTAACATGCAGTTTATCGGAAAGGAGACAATTCCTGCAATCAGTTAAGATCATTTTGATATTGCAACTAGCAATAGTATAACAAAGGCAACTGATTTTATTGCAGACATTAATTCTGGCTCTATTAGTTATGTGGCTTGGGCTCTCTAAGACACATATGCTTCATCTGTAAATCTGGTATAAAGACTTCACCTTTTCCAGAGTTATTGTACATAGTGAGATATACTGTACATAGGAATTAGCCCAGAACCTGGCCTCAATGAAAAGTGCTATCATTATAATTATTTTTATTCCTATCAACAACATATACAGTAATTATGACTCATACATGCATGCAAATTACACTGGTCTTTGTCTCCCACAAATGTACTTGGAAGAAAATAACTCCCAGTAAGGCATATATGGTCATAATTAGTTAAAAGCAAAAGCATAGAACTCAGGCTCCATGAATTTGCCAATTACTAACTTTCTTATAAATCTTTTAGTCCTCAACATGACACATCTATGTATTAATTCCTTCGCTCTTTGAGTTAATGTTCTCAAGGTGTACAGTTTAATGTGGGCACTCCTACCACTCTGTAGGATTTAGTGATGTAATGATTACTAAAAATAAAGTTTCATCTTATGATTCCCCATTTTAATCCTAAATGACCTATTTTGACCCTCAAAGTGTGACACTGTTGAATAACATTTTAAAAACAAGGACACACTGCCTGGCTATGTAAACTTGGGTAAGGAATCCTTGATTTTCTAAGTTTAAATTCAGCGGATCACTTTATGGAAATGGATACTGAAGTGTCTCTCATAATCAGGTCTGTCTCTAACCATGACAAAAATCAGTGTAGAATAAATGACAACAGAAGTGATCCAATTTCTCAATGCAATTCTGAGTTGGGGAAAAAGCAGCTATTTTGAGGACTTCAGAGCAAATCTGAATTCATATTGACCAGGCTAAGCTTAGAGACAATCCCTGGTTATTCAAATATTCATTTGGCATTGCTGTGAAAGGATTTGGAGATGTGACAGCCACTTACAAATGGTTTACTTTAAATGGAGGCAATTACCCTTGGTGACCTGGATGGATAAGATTCAAAATTTAATCTACATCTGCAACTTCACCCCGTGCCCAAGAACTCCAGCCTGCCTGCCTACTGTCATGAGAGCCCTCTCCCACCAATAATCTCCCTTTACACACAGTCCACTGACTCTGCTTCTCTGATGCTCCCGTTTGAAACAACTAGGAAATAACAGCACTGGGCTCTCTTGTTCTTAGGTGGTGTACAATCAAGTACTTAGGAAGGAAGTATCACCAGGTCTATAACTTGTCATAAAAGAAGAATAAAATATCATTGAGGAGAGACATAACCACAAAATACCAGTAGTGGTGGAGGCTATATTGGGCTTGTTCTATGCTTCATTATCTGTTTTTGTGAATAAAGTTTTATTGGGATACAGACTATGCCCATTCATTGATACATATATGGTTGTTTCTACACTTCAACAGGAGAACTGAGTAGCTGTCACAGAACCGTAAAGCCTGCAAATACTAAGACATTTGCTATTTCTCTCATACATACTTGCCAACTCATGGATTAGATGAAGAACATAAGGGTTCAGCAAATTATAATTTCAATATTTCTATGTCTAAAAGTTTTTAGAAATGAAAAGTTGGAAAAGACATTTTCCCAATAAAACGGTTTTTAAATAGCAGGACCTAGACCTGAAAGGCTTTTTGATACTAACTAATTCATAGGTTAGATAATTCTATTAATAAATGAAATGTATGGTATGAAGTCTATTAATATTTAAGCCTATCTTAGCTGTGTTTTTTTTATTGCTGTTGCATGTTAGTAGGCTGATGCCCCTTTGAACTGTGACAGTATGTCCACCCTAGAACCTAATGTCCCTTTAATAAAGAGGAGCCACCTTTCAATGATTTTAACACAAGGACAGTTTTTAAAAGCTCTCCAGTTTATATATGTCTACAATGGATTCTATTCTAAAAAGCCACTCAAAAGTATAAATAGCATAGAGCTTGCCATTTTAAATAGTATTATTATTATAATGAAAACTACTATGAAACATTATGTACATGTCACGGGACAGTAAAAAAGAAAGGGCTCTTGGAAGAATGATACAACAAAATATGGTAGGTGGGGATGAAGCCACAGAGATGCCCATGGAAAAACCTGCCTCAATGCCGTGCAAATAGCTTATTACTTAGTCATACAGAAACACTGATACCTGGACACTAGTAATGGGATACTGGCAACCTAGAATTCTTTAAAAAAAAAAATGAGCTGCTATTTGTTTGCCTGCAGGTTGAAATTTTACTCAAAAATTTAAAACTAATACTTCCATAAAAATGTACCATTCGAATTGAGATATGCTGTGTGAATATGCTTAGTGTGGATTTGGGTGCTTAAAAGTCTTTAAAAGACAATGGAAGATATTTCGCTACTATTTTTTTTGGCATGGATTATATATTGCAGTGATAGTATTTGGGGATGTACACACTGGAATTCACCTCATCTGTCTCTTTTGAAGCTTTTGAAACGTGCTTGGTGACATTCTAAACTGCATACATGACTTTATGTATAGTTTCTACCAGAGCATTGGCTACATCACCTTTAAAAGCAACATCACCACCCTCAACCACATCCTGGTCAAATAAATGCCAGCCACTGAGTACTAACGAGCTATGGTTATGGCCTTTACATGTGCCAAGGATATGCACCACGGGCTTTCAAGCTCAAAAGAACACAATGGTTCCCAATTCAAACTATGTTCCTGAGGCCACAGGCTTATGACCCTGGAGTGGCCCTGCCAACCAGATGAGCAAGAATGATACAGACATGGGTGTTGGAATCCAAACTCAGGTTTTCTGGAAGAGCAGCAAGTGATCTTAACCACTGAGCCAGCTCTCCAGCCCCTCAAAAGGCTATCTGTTTGGTATGTGTGTTTTAATTTAAAAAAAAAATTATGTGTGTATGACTCTAGCAGAGGGTCAGAATGTAGTTTCCAGTACCCACGCAGGGCAGCTCACAACTGTCTGTAACTCCAGCTCCCCGATTCCATGCCTCTGGCCTCCAAGGGCACCTGCACTCAAGGGCACAGTCTGCTCCTTCCTCCATATACATAATTAGAAAAAGAAAAGAAAATCTTAAAAGGAAACAAAAACAAACCAAAGAGACAAGAACAAAAAACCCTTGACTCCTAGGTCATACTCCATTATAACTAAAAACCCTTGACTCCTAGGTCATACTCCATTATAACTAAAAACCCTTGACTCCTAGGTCATACTCCATTATAACTAAAAACCCTTGACTCCTAGGTCATACTCCATTATAACTAAAAACCAGCACTTCCTGGTGAGCTCTAGGCATCAGGTTTGGAAAACTCCTCAGATGGGTAGCCAAGTCTAAGAGTCACTGTTAAGCCTCTCACTCCTCTTCTAAAAAAATTTTAAATTTATTTTATTTTTTTAAATTTTGTTTTTTCTAGACAGAATTTCTCTGTGTAGCCCTGGCTGTCCTGGAACTCACTCTGTAGACCAGGCTGGCCTCAAACTCAAAGATCTGCCTGCCTCTGCCTCCTGAGGGCTGGGATTAAAGGCACGTGCCACCATGCCAGCTCATTTTTTAATTTTTCAGTAGTCTTTAATAACATGATATCAGCACAGTTTCTAACTAAGCTACACAAGAGAATTTTTTTACTTAACACTTGATCAGAACTAGGACATCTCAGGAATAAGACACTGCAGCTACCATCACGCCATACCTGTTGCCAGGGGGGGCACACAGCTCTGCATAGTACTTGATTTTGGGCTCTGTTCCGCTGGTCCGCATGGTGGCCACACCTCCATTAGCAAAGGTGAAGGTGATCATTTGGCTGCTCTTGCTGATAGGAAGAATCTGGAGAATAATTGGTACATGTCACACACTTAGACAGTAACACGCTATTCTGACCCAGTGAATGCCGTCTCAAGTAAGCAAGAAAATTCATACCAGAAGAGCACATTGGCTACAAGGACATTCCCCGGAAAGTCAGAGAATGCAATCCTAGTAATGAGGGGACATTAAGTAACTTCACAGACCAGCTTTCTACTTCCCATAAATTTATTAGAAGTTATCAAGGTTTTGTTCAAAGTAAAACACTTTATTTCAGCTTAGTAATGTACTTCAGAAAATTCAATCATACCTCAATGTTGCAAACTGAAACTCTGGCAAAAAAAGGTTCATGAGGAGGTTTTTTTTGTGTGTGTGTGTGTATGTTTGTTTTTTTCTGATACAAAGCTGACATGTATTTATAGATGTTAACTTCAGAACATCACTAAAGTTAACAGTAGCTGTGTTTTCATAGGTATAAACATAAACACAAGGGCAAAGACGAAAGAGAGGCTAACACGACGCGGAGGTCACTCAATCATGTAAGACAGGAAACAGATAAAGATTTAGAAATGGTAGGATGAAACATGTGATCGTGGGGTCCCAGTACCCGAGAGGGATACAGAAACCAGAAACAGACACTACTCTGTAGAAGTCCAGTTGGGTTCAAGAATTAGAGGTGCCAGGTATGCCAAGGGTCCATGTGAGACAGGGTGAAACATAGAAACAGGATTGAAAAGAAGCTACCAGATGCTCTAAGACAGTCCCTTCTAGCCTCTGGCGTCAGGGGGTCCAGCTCTTCTTGGCCTTTAAGGAATGCTTATGGCATTACCAGGCACCATGCATGGAATGTAGGGTATAATGACACAGTGAGATATTCCAGACCTTAACCACATACACTCTAGGACCTTGACAAGCCAATTTACATCCCTTAGGAAACCAGTTAGGGTTAGGCTCTGAACCAGCCCAATAGCTCTAAAATGAAGATCAATCTTAGAACAGTTATCTTGCTACTTAAGACTCCCGGAGTGCATAAGGTCATTTGCATGCACACACAGACCTTACAACCAGCTAAGTATGCAAAGGATACCAAGGGACCCCTAGTTCCCTCGGTATCCCTAGTACAGTGGGTAAATAAACCCAAAACTAATAGGAAAAATTAATGAAAAATAATTTTTGTCTTTAAAAAGAATCTTTAGAAAGCTACAGTATACAAAAATAGCAATAGGATGTCATTCTGAAAAAAATTAGAATAAGACTTGAAATTAACAGTCAACAGGAACACTAAAAGTTAAAAGTTGAGAAAACCTCTCAAAAAAGGAGTAAAGCAGGACAAGAAGAAACAAAGAGAGAAGGAAGTATCAGTCCTGGAGATCCAGCATCTACCTCAGAACTCCTCAAGAAAACAGACAACCATCGCTCTTCCTTGACATATCACCAAGGAAACTGAGATCCAAAGGAAATGATGCAGTAGACCAGAAGACCCACTGTGAGGGTTGACTTGATTGGAGTAAGACTAGGAAAACCACACAGCACACTCTGGATTGTCTGCGAGGGAACTTCCAGATGAAGTTAGAGGATAAGGACCTGACCCAGTCAATGGTTTCATGCAGAGTTTTAGTAGAGTTCTGAGAAGGTGTGGAACTGTAGAAGGTGGGGACTCCTTGGAGGAAGTGGGTCTCTGGGAGCCTGTCTTTGAAGGTTTAACTTGGCCCTGGCACCTTGCTGTATTCTTCCTGCTTCTTGTCTGTAACAAGTAAAGTGAGCAGCTTCCTTCTACTGTGCCCCTCTCTGCCAGATTTCAACACTCACTGCCAGATTTCAACCAATGGAGCCATGTGGGCTCTGAGCAAAACAGTGAGTCCCAATAAACCTTTCATTGTTTAAGGTGCTTCTCTCGGTCATTTTGTTGCAGTACCAGAAAGTCTGACACATCTAATAAGTAACCACAACACTGCACAAAGAGAAACGATAACCAACACACTGTACAATTTCAGAACATTGAGTTTAGAGAGAAATTTTCTCATTGAGGGAACAAGATTGGATGTAAAGAAATGATGACTACAGTGTTAACGTCCTTGTAGGTATCACACATTGACTCCACTCTTCACTGGATAGAGGAGCAGATGTGATTCACGAGGACAGGACTACTCAATGTAGGAAGTGCATGCGTGGATTCTTTGTCTCCATGCAGAGGAAGAAGTTTTATGGTACATACCAGGAGAAACAATTGAAAGGAAAGTTGGTTGTTTCAGTATGGCGATAAGGTGTCATATGTCACCATAATCTGTTTAATGTAATTTATCTCTTATAAATATGTGTTCATATGAAAACTTTAAAACAAAACACAAAAAGGAGAGTATCAAGGGAGACATATCTCATCAGGCTATTCCTGCCCTCCTCCTAACTGGTCACAGCCAGCCCTATACTTCTGCTACCTCTGGCTCTAAGAGAGATCCTAAAGCAAACATGCATGGGCCTTACAGTCAATAGGCCACATGCAGTCAGAGAACAAGGTCAGTCAGAAAGCAAGTGGCTCTCCCAGAGTGGACCAGCATCTAGTCACTTTGAACCTCACTAGATGTGCCAATTCTTTGTCCCTATCTCAGACCTACTCAAGGAAAACCCCCAGGGTGGCCTTCAGCACTGTTTGTTTGCTTGTGACAGGATGTTACGATACAGCCCAGGCTGGCCTCAGACTCAGCCTTCTGCTGGTCCTGATGTCATCGTACCCAGCTAGTCACAAACCCTGTGTGACTCAGACACTCTCTGGAGTGGCATGTGCTGACGAAGAGGGAAACTTGGGTCCAGAGACAAAAGGCTTCAACTCTACCTGGACCATCACCAGTCACCGCCCTTCTGAGTCACAATTTCCTTGCATGTGAAAGGGTGGCTTTGGATGTCATTTATCACCAAATGGCTTGTGAGGTCACCTGAATTTCTAGCCCATGATTCCTAGTTTTTCAACATAGCTTATCTTATTTATTATTTTTTTCAATGCTAGGGTTCTAACCTGGGGCCTTGTACATGGTAGGCAAGGAGCCACCCCCAAGCTACATACCACCAGCCCTCATTTTCCAGGTATTTTATTACAATAACACTTAGGTGCCCCAAGTCAGCTTCAACCAACCATGTGAGTAAATGGATCTGTTCAAGTTGCAGAAATGGTAAACACAAAATAAATTAGTTGATTAAAGTGAACATCACTTACAGCTTTTTTATCAGGCTGGCTGTCATCATAGCCGGTTGTAAGGTCCCTGATAGCAGAGATTTCAAATCTGCCACATGTTTTGGGATAACCATTTTTCCCATTATAGTTTCTCAGGTTTTCGAATAATTTTTGAATGGTGCCTTGATCATGGCAGATAAAATATGAAGCTTTGGTAATATGATAGCCATACCTATAAGAAAAAAAAACCCACAAATTTAAGCAAACTAAGCCACAAAAATTCTGTACATTATATGCAGCTAGCACATTCTAAAATAAGTGAAACAGGTAGTCCTAACCAGCTTCAGAAGAATAATCTAGTGTTAAAAAAGAGGTTGGGTCCGGCAAGATGGTTCATTGGGTGAGGGTACTTGCTGCCAAGCCTGATGACCCGAGTAGATCCCCAGAACGCACAAAGTAGAGGAAGGAAGCAATTCCTCTCAGTTGTCCTCTGACCTCCATTCGTCAGAGAACACATGAGGCAGAACAGTATCACTAGATGGCACCATGTGTGTACCCACCCACATGCATACGACATACATACATACGTACATAATAAAATACAAAAAGAAAAAGAAAAGGGGCTGTAGAGACGGCTCAGTGATTAAGAGCATTAGCTGCTCTTCCAGAGGACCCAGATTCAATTCTCAGCATCCTCATGGTGATTCATACCCATCAGCAACACTAGTTTCAGGGAATCCAATGATCTCTTCTGGCCTCTGTGGGCACCAAGCACACCCATGGTGCACAGACACATGCAGTCAAAACACCCACACACATAAAATCAAAGTGAATAGACTTAAAAAGAAAATGAAAAAGAGGTCCAGGGTAGAAGACATAGCACAGTCAGTGAAGTCCTTGCCTTCCAAGCACGAGGACCTGAGTAATCCCCAGAACCCAAATAAAAAAAGATGGGCACGGAGGTGTATGCTTGTGGTTCCAGGACTAGGGAGACAGACACAGGCAGATCTCTGGAGTTTGATGGCCAGCCAGCCATGCCTGCTTGTCAAACTTCAGGTTAAGACAGGACAGTATCAATAAGATAGTCACCACCTAAAGGAACAAAAGCTGAGGTTGTTCCCTGAACAACATGCATACGGAGTGAGAATATGAATCAGTGATCTACTCTAGATCGGCAGTTTAGGTAAGTTATGGTCCCCGGGACACAGCCATGCAGCACTGGGTTACAGCTTTTACAGCTTTTGCAACACAGGCACAGTTCAGTACTTGCTACAAAGACTGATCCCAGTATAGACCCATTTAATCTTTTTATGACATTGACTATTTAAAGTCACACCCTTCAATCAAGCCATTTGTGCAACGTTCTCATGAGTTAGAATCCAGGCAACTGCAAATGGCCGTTACTAACTAGTGGTGACACAGCAAAAGGAAAAGGTGATCTTGGTTTTCATAAGGATCAGAACACGTCACCAAAGTAAGAGCACTTGAAATATGACCATCAAACCTTCAATAGACTATAGGCCAGTGATTCTCAGCTGTGGGTCACGACTCCTTTGGTGGCCACCTATCAGATATCCTGTATATCAGATATTTACATTATGATTCATAACAGTCGTGAAATTAGAGTTATGAAGTGGCAATGAAATAATTTTATGGTTGGGGGTCATCACAAGACGTGGAAGTGTATTCAAGGGTCCCAGCATCAGGAAGGTTGAGAACCACCGTCATAGACACTTACTCCACATAGATGGCCTTCAGCTGCTGAGACAAAGACAGATTCTTGGTTGCTAGAAAGCTCGCCAGCTCTGCGCTTATGACAGCTGCACTGACTCCATCCTTGTCCAGCACAAAGGGACAGCACATATATCCTGCAGATGAAGCAGGAGACACACAGCCTTAGGAGTGGATTCTGTTACCGCACTACAACAGGCCACATGAGTACGGGCCTGCTGGCTACTACATGTTAAGAGTCTAGCCTGGAACAGACACAGGTTTTTCATTTATGTCTGTGTTTGGAAATTTACGTATGAATACGCTTCCATAATGTGGTGCTTATCCTATCTGCTCTACACATAGAAGGTCCTGGGTGAGAGACCCCAGTGGCCCAAAGTGTGATCAGCTTACACTGAGCTGAGCATGGGATGCACGCTAGTGCTTGGGAGATGGAGGCAGGAAATCAGGACATGTTATCCATGGCTATAGAGTTCGAGGCCAGTCTGGGTTACATAAGATCCTGTCTCAAAAACAAAACAGTTTAACCCAGTGTCTTGAACATAGTAGCTTGAGCAATCTGTGTTGATGGCTTATGTGGAGATTTCCCCTGCTGGCAAAGCTGTTCACTGACTAGACTCAGCATCACAGCTCTAGGTCAGATGAAGTTAGTTCTACCTGTTTCAGTCACTATCTACCTACACTGTTTCTTGGAAACCTGGTGGTTCTCCGTAGTTACATGATTCATCTTGGCAGTTGGCCCAGACCCTCTTTGGTGTGGTTACTAATTGGAGCTGCTGGAGGCTAAGGTCACTATCATATTTCAGAGTCCCCAAGTAACACCTACAAATAGTACTTGGTGAACAATGTCTCCTTAACAAAAACCATAGAAAGACAACTCTGAAACTGTGACTTCCGGAGAGGCAGCAGCTGTGCTAGTCCTCGGCAATGAGCTGGCTGAGCAAGTGTCCCTCTGCTTTGACACATACACAGAGCATAAAGTCAGTGAGTTTACTAAGCTAACAGCTAAGCCAGTGCTTGCAAAAACAACAGAATGGCCTATGTCCACACCCAGCTTTCCTTTCCACTTTTACATACACTGATTGACAGTTGAGGATAAGGGCTTTTCACTAATTCTGGTTAAACTTTCCAATGACCATGACCATGAGGACAGGAGACCACATAGCTGCCTTCTACTCCCTGGGCAGACTCAGCGCACAACCTTAGTAGACTTTTGGAAGAGGGTGGACTTTACCAGTGAATAAAAAAAAAAAAAAAGAAAGAAAGAAAGGATATGAGTGCTCCTAGGTATGGTGGAGGAGAAGGTTTATTGTAGATATGAGGGAGAACATAGCTAGAGCCAGAGTGAACATAGCGCTGGGCCAGGCCATGTAAAGAGATAGGGCTGGGGTCAGAGGGTGGAGCCAGAAAGTAAAGGGTAGACAAAAGAGGAGGGTAACCAAGATACAGGAAAGGGAAACTTGGAGAAGGGTAGCCCAGTCCCTGGACTGCAGAGGTTTAGGGTAGGGAGCAGGGGATGGAACCAGTAACAGGTAGGGACTGAAAGATGCTGGGAGAACTTAGTGGCCAGGTCTTGGCCCAGGTTTAAGAACCTAACAATGAGCTCCACAAATGTGTGGGTTCTTGCACTGCTGACAGCCCTGTGCAGAGTGTCAGCACCATCAGGTATGTGTGGATGGCCCAATTATTTGCATGCTATTCTTTTTTGTTAAAAAGATGTAGGATTCCAATTTTGGAGTAGTTCAACCCTTGACCCAAGTAATAGAAGAAAGGTAAACTGTCTGCTTCCATTTCACTGGTGCCCTTTGAGCTCACATTCAAATCTTTCTCTCGTGTGTGTGTGTGTGTGTGTGTGTGTGTGTGTGTGTGTGTGTGTGTTTTCTTCTTACCGATAGCTTCTTCAAATGCAAATAGGACCGTCTTCCCCTGGTCTACTAGCTGTTTGGTTCTGTTTCCCATCCATTTGAAGCCAGTTAATGTTTCCTAAAGGGATAACCCAAAAGAGAAAAGAAATACTTTGGTGCTGGGGATGCATCTTCATGGGTAGAGTGCTTGTCTAGACCTGGGTTCAATCCCCAGTATCACATACTGGGCGTGGTGGTGTGTGCTTGTAATCCTAGCAAAAGGAAGGTGGAGGCGGGAGGATAAGAAGTTCAAGGTCATTCTTGACTTATGAAGTTCAAGTCCAGCCTGGGCCATATGAAACCCTGTCTCAAAATATAAAAGAAAAACATGACTGGGAAAAAAATTGTCTTAGGAAACAGGGAAGTGAAAGTTACATGAACATCTTACCTCAAAATGAAAGCCCTCCTTCAAGGCGATGGCCCGCAAGATCTTGGAGGAGACGGTGCTGGACAACATGTATGTGTCTTTGAGGGCACTGCGATCACGGTTGTTTTCTTTCCAGGAAGTGAAGAGCCACCATCCCAGCAGGGCCCCCAGCTCATTGCCTGAGAACACTCTCCACTCACCACTACAAGGAAATGGACCCTTTGTTTTAGCAGCCTTCCAGAAGGCACAGAAGTCCCTGGAGCTGGGCAAATGAAGCTCTGTTGTGTGACATTTTGATCCCATTCTGATAATAAAGTTTGCTTTAAGTCAGAGGGCAGAGATAGCCACTAGCTGACCACAATTAACCATAGATATTTTGGAGGACTGAGAACAGATAGGAGACAGGAAGTAGAAAGGTGGGGACTGAGAGAGGCTGTCAGCCCTTTTGGATGGAAGACCGGAAGAGATATGAAGTCAATGGTGTCTTCTCCGCAGCTTCTCTGATCATTCAGGCTTTTACCCCAATATCTGACTCCTGATTTTTTTATTGATAAAGAATAAATAGATAAATGCTTCAAAGCTCGGCATGCTTTCGGTAAACCTGCTTCCTGTCTTTAAATAACTGCACTGAAATGGACCTGCCACATCACAAATGTCCAAGCAGCTTCCACATATCAAGCCAATTCTTCCAGACAAACATTAATGTCTTTGAAGATGGTCTACAGCTAGCATGCTAAAGAGGACACAGGATGCCTGCATTTCCATCTTTGACGAAGGCTGTAGTTTGAAAATGTACCAGACACTCTGATATTATCCTTTGCAAAAACGACATGGTCATACTTGCCTTAAGCATTATGTCAACATCTGTCTGTTCACCCTAAATTCAACAATGTCCTCAACGTCCAGTGCTTTATCAAATCCACTGGCATAAAATGAACTGCAGAGCCAGCACCATGAAAAGAAAAGAATGGGGACCTTCACATATTAAGTTCAGTTATAACATGAGGGGTCACAAAGAGTCACTTCAATTCTCAGCAAGCACTGGCTTGCTTTGCTCAAATCAAGGACATGATCCCCTGCCCTTAGGCTTAGCAGATTGTCCTGTTAAAGAGGTTTTGTTGTAAAAGCAAATAGGATTACACAGAAAAATCCTGTGTGGACTTAACCTCCCCAGAAACATGTTATTTCTAAAGATGGCTTTCTGTTTATTTTTTATGACATACATAAACAAAGTTAACTTCACCTGTCTTGCTTTTCAGCCACAGCAAGTCTGTCCGCATCTGGGTCATTGGCTAAGATAATTTTGGCCTTGATCTTGTCAGCCAAGGCAAAAGATAATGTCTGAAAGCAAGTACAGAAGAGAAAAGATTATTTAAGGAAAACGCGTGGTCTTATGAGGTAAAAAGGATTTCACCAAAATTGGAGCTGCAGGGTTTTTGTTATTGTTACTGTTTTGTTTCCTGCTTTTTTTTTCTGAAGCTGGTTTTGCATAGTCAGATTTTATTTTATCTTCCTAAGTTGGAGGTCAGATGATGAGAGTTCAGATATACAGCCCATCCCTACCATGTGACCATACAGATCTGTGGCAACCTGTAGCTGGACTGGTATTTCTAGGCACTGTGTGTGTTTGGCCACACAAACCAGACCAAACCAGCTCTCTCAGTGTCACAATTATCTAATCTCTCAGAATGGTATGTGAGCTATACTGTCAATAATATTAACAATAAATAATAAAATTTAAAATATGAAGAACCCTCTCCAATCTATCATCATTACTTCTTGGCAATATATGAACTCCAATCTATCATCATTACTTCTTGGCAATATATGAACTATCAATTAAAATTTAATTAAATTTGGGCAGGAGAGGTGGCTCTGTGGTTAAGAGCACTGGCTGCTCTTCCAGGACCCAGCTTCAATTCCCAGCACCCACATGACAGCTCATAACTGCCTGTAACTCCAGTTCCAGGGGCATCCAAAACCCTCACATAAACACTCATGCAGGAAAAACACCAATTCACATAAAGTAAAAGTAAATACTTTCTTTTTTAATTTAACTTAAGGAATAATTTAGATTTTAGCTCACATATCCTCTTGTTAGATATCATTTGAAAGTTCCTGTAAGAAATTAATGACCATCCAACATACATATTTCCAGAGATATAACTCATTTTTTTTCAGCACAACAAAAACATAATGTACTTGATAGCTTTAGGGCAGTGGTTCTCAACCTTCCTAATGCTGTGACCCTTGAATATAGAACCCCACGCTGTGGTGACCTCCCAACTATAAAATATTTTCATTGCAACTTCCTAACTGTGATTTTGTTAATGTTATGAATCATAATGTAAATATCTTTGCCCCATGAGCTTAAGTGACCCCTGTGAAAGGGTCATTTGACCCCAAAGGGGTTGTGACCCACAGGCTGAGAACCACTGGTTTAGGGTATAACAGGTAGAGTCCATTATTTAATAAAAGTAGGTTACCAAGACACCTTTACCCTCCTCAGGATTTGGGTATTTGACGGTTGGAAACTCAGGATCCGGATCTTTCTGTTCAGGAACAGCTTCAGGAGGAGCGAGGTCAAAGGCCTTGAACGCCAGCTGCACAAACTCGTGGCCCACACCATGGACAGAAGTGTGCACAAACTTCATACCGCTGTCCCTGTTCACACCCCTGGAGGGAGACAAAGCGGAAGACACAAAGGGTATGAACAAGGCTCTCGGGGGGGGGGAGGGTTCAGAAAATATAAGCGCTGGGCTCTTCAGACTGTAAGACAACATCTCTGAAGTATGCTGACGGGGTAGCTGTGAGCCCTTCAGAGAGACCTCAGCTACATCCTCCGCACAGATTCAAAAAGGACCAATGACTTGGGAAAGAGTCAACACCACAAAACGCAAACACAAAATCCCAAAGAACAGACTGTCCCCCTTACAATCTTGGTATAGAGTCTTTTCAAGTATGAATAAAACCCAGAAACCAAAAATTAAAGGACAACCAAATATCAACAAAATTGTTAAAGTTTCAATAAAAATTTCCAAAAGTAATAATGGAAAAATAGACACTTGAAATAAACAAGACTGTTTTCCAAATAAAGAAACTTTCTAAAGACAACAGACAAGCAAATTAGTAGAAAAAACATACATACATCAAATAAATTTGAAAAAAGTTTTTCATAATTAGGGAATGTAAGTGAACATGAGATATTACTCTCATCTAACAAGTGGGGGTGGGGAGGATGATAAATTTGATAATGCTGAGCACAGGGTCAGACATGGGTCCTATGTCACTACCACAGGCTGTAAGTGTGGGTGTCAACTACTCTAATATACTTGGACAGCAGTTTGCTGACCACCTTCACTTTGGAAATGTATATACATTATATATTATATATATGTTACATACATTATATATTATTCAAGAAGTTTTTGCACACACACACATGCATGTGAACATGCACGCAGTTGTTGGTTCTCATGCTACTTATTTCAGTGTCAACTCTATCTTTGTGAAACTAAAAGGGAGGGGCAGTGGGAAAGCTCACAGATGTATCTTGTTTGCATTACCTACCAATGAGAGGGAAATGATAACCACATTTTTTTTTTCCAGTCAGAGTTTCTCAGTAGCTCTGTAGACCAGGCTGGCCTTGAACTCATAGAGATTCACCTGCCTCTGCCTCCCAAGTGCTGTATTAAAGGTGTATACTACCACCACCCAGTGATAACCACAGTTTTAGAGATTCCTTTTGTAGAGAAAAATAAAATTCAATGACCTGGGAACTCAGATCTGTATCCCGTGGCCCAGGAAGACCCGTTAGTCAGTGTGATCTGATGGGGGATGTTCTTCTTTATATATGTTTCTCTTATTGGTTGATGAATAAAACACTGATTGGCCAGTAAAGGCAGGAAGATAGATGGGGCTGAGGACAATGAGAATGATGGGCAGAGGGGCAGAGAGGCATGGTGAAGAGACACCATGTAGAGACCAGGAAGATAGAATGCACCAGGTGTATAGGTAAGATAAGGCCATGTTGAAATTCATAGATTAGTAGTTAAGGGTTAATAATTAAGAGTGAGCTAGCCAGTAAGAAGCCCTAGCCATCGGCCAATGATTTTATAATTAATATAGTGTCTGTCTGTTTATTTGGGGCTGAAGGGTGGCAAGACCTGGCAGGACAGACACCTCCATCTTCAGTGCTCACCCTTCAGATGGGATTGGAGTCTCTACTCTGCACTGGAACTGTCAGGCCCAGTCTGTCTAACAAATACAGCACCAGACAATGTAGGCATTCATTTTATTGCCGATGGACAATGAGGAGTAGTGGAACCTAAATCCTCCTGGAGAACAATAGGACAGCCACCCTGCTCAGCACCTGATTGTGAGCAAATGGGCTCAGTAGCATTGTATGACCACACTTGGGTACTGGGAATTGGAACTCAAGTCATCACATGTATGCAGCACTGAACCATATCCTCAGCCCTAAAACACACACACACATATATAAAACACACACACACACACACAGAGCACTTCAAACTGTGACTCATGAGCTGGCCACCTGCTTTGTAAATAAAGCCACCTGTGCTGTTTGCATACTAGAATAACAATTTTGAGGGGTGAAGACAGGCTCCATGCAGCTGGCAAAGTCATGAAGATTTATTATTAATTCCAGCTCCGCTATTGACCCTTACACATGTAGCTACCATGTGTGCACCAAGTACAGGGGGCAAAACCAAAGTCATAGAATCGGGCTGAATCATATTAGCTGAAGTGAAGCCACAATCCAGTTACCTGTGAAAACAGTATTTTTTCAGGTCTTCAAAGTAGTCATGACTGATGGAAGTGCTGGGGTTGTGAAGAAGGGAACTGCTGTCAATCAAAGACTCATCCCAAGCCTTCGGCCAGGGCTCTAGATTTTCTTCAATAGCTTGAGAAATGCCTCGATCATGTGGAGAGATGATCTGAGCTCCATTGTCCCAGTAGACCTAGAACAGCCAGGGATGCATTTAGCAGGTTCAGGGTGCAGAGCACTGGCTCCCAAACAGCACAGGGAACTGGTTCTTTGTAAGAGCACTGTGTGGGGAGAGAATGTACCTTATAGCCATTGTCCTGCTTCGGATTGTGTGAGGCAGTGATCATGATCCCAGCACAGAGCTTCAGATGTGACACTGTGTAAGGCTAGACAGAGCAGGAGACAGTTCTTAACAGAGATTAGACTGAATGGAAATAACTAGCATACATGGCTTGGATGCCCTCTTCCCTCTTTATTACCCCAATATCATAACACACCATTCAGCGTCCTGCGTCCCATTCAAGCAACATCCAGCACCCCATCATCAGTGGTTTTTCTCTGCTCTGTTTCAGTTACTCATGGTCCAGGAAGATGAGTATCTGTCTTAACTCTCTCTGAGGGGCCCACACTCATATAACTTCATGCCAGGACACCACTACAACTGTTCTGTTTTATTATTATTACTGCCGATAGTCCTTTATATCCCTAACCCATAAATTAAACAATCATTGGCACAAACTGTAGGCCACAAGCTGCACAAACATTTATATTGTCTGCGGCTTCCCCTATCATGGAATACTTTGCCTGTGGCTAAGAGGAGACTATTATAATCTTACCATTCTAGAAACTGACTGGCTGCCCAAAGTTCCAGAATGTTCATCCCCAGGAAACAGGCAAGCTCCTAGGTGTCCCCTCCTTCTGACTTCTCCTTTGCAGAGCTAGAAACTCTTTGAAGACAGAGATGGACCAAGCCTCCATTCTGCATTTGTTCACAGCTTTTGCTCAAGAAGGAAGCTGAAGCATTGTCTACCCTCTGCACTCATTCCCTTTGCCCTCAGTTTCGTTACTCACTAAGAAAAAGCAGAGACGATGGAGTATGCACTCAGGCAGATACTTCATCTCTCACTCCAGGCTTGACATCTGGCCCTGACATTTCAAACCAGTTCCCACCCTTACAAGACTTCGTGCCAAAATGGAGGAAGGGACTAGACTCATACTAAGCCCAGCTACCAATGAGATTTCTACATAGGCAACCTGAGATTCAAACCATCTGATCCTCTCTACCTTCCACTATAATTTTCTCCTAGGAAGTTATGTTAACATTCCTTGGGGGTGTGTCCTGGTATGGAGAAATGGGCAGAATTAACCACGTATGGTGGCTTATGTCTGAAATTCCAGTACCTAGAAGGCAGAGGCAGGAGGATCACTGTAAGTTCAAGGTCAGGCTATCCTACAGTTCGGGGCTAACAAGGACCCTATTTCAAAGAAAGTGGCAGAACCACTCTATGGTGTGGAACAGTGGGACACATTCATTCAGCTCTCCTGTAGTACACTAACTACTGACACTCCGATTGTACAGAATACAAGTAGGATACTGGGATATGATACAATATTTCCTTCAAATGATTAAACCCGAGCTACACAGAATTGTGATGCTAATTGCATACTAGGTTATCAACACCCACAGACTGTGGTTGTTCTCAGTTCACTGGGCCATCAACCCTTCCTTCTGGTCAACACACTGGAATTCCTACCCAGTGAGAGGGACCACATTAATCAGATGTTATAAAAACACACTCTCATCATCAGGTTCAGCTCTTAACAGTTAGGTCTGCTGAAAAGCAGCATCTGCCATAGTCCCTAGTGGCTTTTGTTTCGCTTCTGTTTGTGAAGGAGTCAATAACACTCTAGCCAGGAATAACATTTGGAATGGACCATTCATATTTAAAGCTGGTACACCAACTTGTTCAAAGACACAGTAATACAATTGTTGAGAGACTTAGACTCAAGAGATATCCTAAATGTGATAATTGCAGTGAAGAACTACCTACCAGTTAAAAAAAAATATGAGCATTTTGCTAATTTGTCATAGAATTTGTGATGGTTTGAAAGAAAATGACCCTCAAAGTGAGTGCAACTATTAGGAAGTGTAGCCTTGTTGGAGTAGGTGTGATCTTGTTGGAGGAAGTGTAGAAGTGGGCTTTGAGGTCTCATATGCTCAAGTCACGCCCAGTGTCTCAGTTCACTTCCTGTTGCCTGTGAGTCAAGATGCAAGAACTTTCTCCAGCACCACATCTGCCTCAATGTTGCCTTGCTTCCTGCCATGACGATAATAAACTAAGCCTCTGAACTGTAAGTAAGCCACCAAGTTAAGTGTTTCACTTTATAAAACTTGCCATGGTCACGGTGCCTTTTCACAGCAATGGAAACCCAAACTAAGGCGTAAGTCAAACAAAATAAAATGATACCTTGTCTTTCCTTTAGTGGTGGAGCTAGAGCCCCTGCCCCTGCCTGTGCTATCGCTGAGGTATAGCCCCAAACCCTTATTAAACTTAGCAAAAAATCAATTTGGAATGAAAATGTGCACATCAGAAGCACATTACTAGGATGTGGGTGAAACTGCCTTACAGAGAGGAGTTAGCCCAAGGAATTGTCTTGTCACCAAAACAACCGGAGCCTAACAGCACCACAGCCCCTAAAACTCAGAGTCCCACCCCAGGTCCTGTGACAAGAAGTTGGAAAGGAAATGTTTACTTACCACAAATGGGGTGGGAGTTATATCAGAGAAGAGATGCACAGGAACCCCCTGGCTGATAAATGCAGTCGCAGCCAGCCGTGCAAACCTAGAAGTGAGGAAACAGGATAGAGGCGTGGTCAGGGCTGCAGGCAGCCGTGAGAAACAATGAGCAAGCAAGAGGGGGAGGGCGCTGTATGTGCGCATGCGCACTAGGCCAGCACACTCAGTATAACAGTTACAGCTCTGGCCCCTTCCACCACACCTTTAGACGGCACGCGGTGGTGACAGGAGGAGGATGTCTTTTATAATGTTCACACTGGCACAGAACACCAGAGCTGAGGACAGCTGGAGTCCTTTCATGCCACCTTGTCTAGGATAAAGGCCTCATAGGTCACCTAGCCACATGTCCAAGGCCACTGAGCATGTAAGCTAGCCTGCATTAAAGTCTTTCAACACTATCTGTCTCAGCCCAGCTCAGGAACTCTTGCATGGGCGCATCTGTCCCTTACAAGTTGTCTGATGTGAAGGCGGTGTCAGTTGTCACGCTTGGGAGGGGGCATGTGCTAATGGCAATTAATGGAAGTTAATGGGTAGAGGCCAGAGGTGCTACCAAACACCCTTACAATGCATAGGGAAGGCCTCTCTACAAAGAACAGTCCAGCCGTTGTGAGATCATACGATGAGGTGGTTTACAGGATACGAGAGCCAGGCCTGGTGGTGTCTGACTGTGACCCCAGCACTTAGAGATGAGAGAGTCACAAATTCAGTTCCAGTATGAGTTATGTAGTGAGGTCTAGTCTCCAAATTGAACAGATGAAAGAGTGCATGAGAAATTGTACACAGGTTTTACCCAAACTGTGTGCCTTGTTTATATGTGATTTGTGCACCTTTGGGTTTTGGAGGTTGAGCTTGTCTTAGGACCAGTCTTGTTGGATAGTGGGGACCAATTCTGAGTGCTGGGATTAAAGGCCTAGCCTAAACCATTATTTTTAATAGCTAAGCAATTATGTTTTTAAAGTCAAGTTATTAAAACAAAACAAAAAAATCAAAGATGGTTTTCGGTGATTAAGAATCCACATTTTTGTTTTTGTGTTTGTAGCCCCAGTTGTCCTTGAACTAGCTTTATAGACCAGGCTACCCTTGAACTCAGAGATCCACCTTCCTCTGTCTCTGAGTCCTGGGATTAAAGGCACATGTCACCATGCCCAGCTCTCCCTTCTGTTCCTACAGAGGCTTGTAAGGGCCTGTAACTACAGGGGATCTAACACCTTTGGCCTCTGTGAGCACCTGCACCCTCATACCCATATCCACATGTACATGCACACATATCCACATAATTTAAAAGTGTTTTTGTAAAGTCGAATTGTTGAAATGATGATTAAAAATAAAAATATGAAAGAAATTATGAAGAAATCCTTTTCTGAAAAATGTCTCTGGGTTCCATCCCCAAAGCCCCTCAAAAACCTGAATACCTCCTGCTGCTGCCTCCACTGGCAGGGTCAGCTCTAGCGTCAAAGCTGACCACCACGCCCCTCTGCTTCAGGTCACTGAACTGCTTTTCCAGGTACCTGCAAAATCCCTGAAAATAGCCCAGGAGTTAAAAGCACATATTTCATATATATGACATAAAAATCAGCCCAAAATTATATTTTCCTACTTTCCTGAAAGGTGCTCAGCCCTGAGCATCTGTGTGTCTCATGGGAAGCATTCCAGCATCAGTGAGTCAGTCACTTTAGAGTAGAGTATCTAAGGACCACGCCAATGGGCGGCTGGTGGAATCAGATCCCGTAGAAAACGTCTATCCATCGTGTTTTCAAAGGACTCTGAACTACACACACTCCTGAGGCCCAGTTCTAAGTTTCTAAGAACTTCCCCAAGCCACATTTCCTCATTTCTGGAAATCAGAGTTGAATACCAGAGAAAGGACTCAAGGTTAATTTGTAGTCTAGAAATCCCTGACGATAAGGTCTCAGAGTCAGTGTGACAAACTGGATTATCCAAAAATGGCTATGGCAATATATACCTCACCAGGTGTCACTGACCTTCTCCTTTAACAGACTGAGCACAGCAGGAATAAGTTTCACTGTTTGAGTCAAAGCTCATTCATACAGCCCAATACAGCTTCCCGCTGGCACACTCAGATGTTCCCATTCCCTCCTGTCACTCCAATCAACAGGTCTATATAAGGACAAAATCTTCACAAGGGAATCTGTCTTATTTGTATCAATTCACCATGCCTGATAATCAGTAGGCATTCAATAAATTTGTTGCATCACTGTCTGGATGGATAGGAAACTAATGAATTTTTAAATAAGGACCGCATAAGCTTCATTTTACATATTAAACAGTGGGTCTACTTCCTCAGATCCGAAAACATCCATAATTAAAACAAATTAAATCTATCAGCTGTATCAGGAGATACATCAGGAGTAACCAAAAATGACCAAACCATGGTACCTGTGTGGTCTGGATGATGGTCAAGTCATTCATTCTCGAAATCCCAGCTCCCATAGGAGCTCGAAGGCCAGCTGTCCCAAACTCCATCCGGGCCCCAAAGCATTTCTGTAGCTCTTCCTTATTACCCTCAGCGATGAGCTGTTTCACTGCCTCCAAAGTTAAGGGATTCTGAAAGACAGACACGGTTATTGGAGACACAGCTTGGTTAGGAGAAGGATGGAAACTCTGTAAAGAAGGCTCCCTCCTGAACACACACACACACACACACACACACACACACACACACACACAGAGCAGTTTTAGAGAAAACGAACAAGGTACTGTTTTAGAATAGACATCTAACATGTGCAGGGAGACCCCAGACCCATCACTTACAAACCCGTGCTTGAGTGCTTAGTTTCCCCATCTATAAAGGAGAACCAGCTGAAACCTCTTTTGCACAATTTTCAGTATTTTCAATTAGTTTGTCTTTCTCCACCTGACACTGAGTTCTGGCGTTCCTCTCCTTCCTTAATGTCCTCAAAGACTTCCCAGGGTGGTAGATCAGTCAGTTTAACTAAACCCTTACTTTTGTGTTGCTTTATAGTTTTTTTACAAAGTGTTTTTTTGTATCTGATCGAGTTTCAATGACTCTAAGTCAGGCCAATAATAGCTGGTGGCTTTAGTAGCATTTTATCCCAGGACTTGGGAGGCAGAGGCAAGAATATCTCTGTGAGTTTGAGGCCAGCCAGGTCTACAAGGTGAGTTCCAGGACAGCCAAGGCTACACAGAGAAACGTCTCAAAAAACGAAAGAGAGAGAGAGAGAGACAGAGAGAGAGAGAGAGAGAGAGAGATAAAGAGAGAGAGAGATATTCTGAATGGTTTGCTTAAACTGCATGATGACCATTAGCCTAGTGGGTTTTTTTTTACTACATTAATGCAAATAGACATAAGCATGAATCATTTAAGTCCACCATACATTGACCTGTTTTCTTTGCGTAACAATTGCAAAGAGGAGATGTTAAGAGTGGAGAAATAGAGTGATTACCTAACTCCACATGAACCTCTACATTAAGAATTGAAGGAATACTGTGGAGTAAGCACTTTACTCACATGCTTCTAGGCATCATTCACTAAAATGAACATTGGGCAAGATAAGGCCCCATAATTAAACTTTGAAATGTGGTTGCAATAAAATCTTGGCTTCTTGTAATCAAGTCTCTGGTTCCAGATTGTTCCAGATTCAACAGGAACCTGGACCAACTTCTGATTAAAAACAACAGAGCCCAATTGCAGAGAACAATCTTACTCATTAAGCTGTCAGATGCCCCCAAGGAAAGGCTCAGAGCTGGTATACAAAAGGAGCTCAACCAACACCTGCTGAGTGGATGAAACAACACAGACTTCCTGGCCACACCCAATATCCAGGGCTTCTCTGAATGTAGATTTCAAAAGTCCTAATCGACCTTGGATATCTAGAAAAGACTCAGCAGCCTGAGAGAACAAAGCAGAGAGATAATGAAAAGTCAAGAGAGCAGCAGAGGTGAGGTCAGACCTGGGAGTGATAGAAACTGACAGGAGCAGGAAGCATAAGGCGGAGAAGCAATGGCGGGTGCCTTGCCATCCATGGGGAGGCGGGGGACCAGCAGCTTCAGCGCTTTCAGGTGGTGGGAGTTTCAGTAAAAAATGAATGGGTCCTTCCCAGAGAGGCATCTAATGGAGAATGACTAAAATCAGCTCTGGCAGTAAAGTGCTTGCCAGAAAGCTTTAAGACTCAAGCTCACATCCCCGGCACGCACCAACAAGCCAAGCGAAGCAGAGTTCACCCAGAAGAGCAATGTTGGCGGTACATAGAAAATGGAAACAGAGTGGGTTGTTCCATCAGTTAAGCCAAGGTGGAGAGTGACTAAGGACGATACTAAATGCCAACCTTTGGCCTCTGCAGGGATACGCACACATATACCCGCTTACACACACACACACACACACACACACACACACACACACAACCTCTGACTGGAAAAAGAACACTGAAACATCTCCAAAGGAGCAAAAGACAATCTCCCTCCACCTCTACCCACAGAGGTACCATTCCTAGACAAATTCCCATATTCTGTAGTAATTACATTTGCTGGTTTTCTTTTATGGAAGGTGATGACTATGCCCGAGTCTCAACTTGATGAGATCAAGAGGTGCCTAGGAGGTCAATACAGCTTACTCCTGGGGTATCTGAAGTAGCTTCCAAACATAATTAGACATGGGCTCTGACAGAATCAAAGGGCTACTCCTTTGATGGATTCATAATACAGTGGCATTATGGGGAGGTGACAGGGAACAGGGAGCTAGTTGAAGATAGCAGTTATTGGAACTTGTCACTAGGCAATATATTTTCAGTGGCCTCTTCCTGACACCAGCTGCACCATGACATAAGCAGCTGTTATAACACCTGTCCACCACACAGGATAAAACCATCTCAAAATCTGAGCAAAGCAGTCCTTACCCTCTGCTTTAGTCTACTTCCCATACTTAGTCAAGTGCTACAATAGCCCAGGACACAGAGCAATACTTTGTTAATTCAGGAATTAGAAGAATCTACACAATGCAAGCTACTAAGTTATCAGAAATGGAAACAGTTTCCTTCCCTTAAGCATCCTGAGGTTAACTTTCCAGGAAGAAGAAAAAACTGCCTCAAGGAGTTGGCACTGGCATCCTGGAAACAGGATGGGCTGACACAGGTATGAGTGCGGAATGGCCTCACTGAGCCTTGAAATCTCTGTCCAGTTAACAAACGCTTCAGGGACCTACTATGTACAGGGTACTGTAGACGCAGGAAACATCAGGAACACAGCACCAGCCAGTGAAAAATTAAAACGAAGGGCTCCATGTTTAACAACAGAGAATCTGAAAGCAGAGTTTTTAACTACGGTTTAGGTCCTTCCCCTGGGCACTGGTTCAATCTGTCTGCACGGGTCTCACCTCCTGAAGTCAGCCCGGACACCAACAGACAATACACAAACAAACCTGTAAGGGATTGCTGCTTTTGTTTCTTCCAATCCCAGAAAGAGCCAGGAAGGAAGAGACTGGGCTGTTCAGAGAAAGTGTTTGAGAGAAGTAAGTTGCAATTTGGAGATGGGGAAGACCTCATTAAGTTCACACGGGGCTAACAACAAGAGAAACAAGGTCAACTGAACACAGGCAAGAGGAACATTATGGGAAACATGAAAGCAGAGGTCGGAAAGAATTTGTAGAGGGCAGAGGAAGTCATGTCCGGAACTGGCCACCTGACTGTTTATAAGACAGTCTAGAGGGAAAAGGTGGAGCTGGGACCAGAGTACCGTGTCACCGTGCCAGCGAGGCGAATGTCCACCGGGAAACTCCTGGTCTGCCTGCCCCACCAGGGACCCATTAGGAAGCATGCAGTCAGGAAGGGTGCTCTAGACTGTGGAGGGGTCCGGGATCCGGGTCCCGGGAAAGGCGGGACAGAGAGGATTCTGGATGAATGAGGATGCTCAGCCCATCCCAGAACCTCAGAAACCCTTTCGTGCTGGGACTACCCCACGCCCCAGTCCCGCTATGTTCACCCTGCGCCGGCTCGCTCCTCTACCCTGTCTACCAGCCCCACCGGCCACACAGCCGTCTCCGTCCCGCAACAGCCTTTCCCGAACAGACCCGGTGCCGCGGGGCAGGGAAGGAAGGAAGCCGGGCCCAGCTACCCGAGAGACAAGCCGCCGTGCCCGGGAACCCAGGAGCCCGCGATCGGCCCTCACCCGGTCCCAGCGCAGCCACTGAGCGGTCTCCTGCTCCAGTCGCGTGTCCATGCCCGAGCCACTGACTCCCGGAGCTGGTGCCGGTGCCGGTGCCGGTGCCGGTGTCGCCACTGCCTCCGCCATCCCGCCGCAGCCACAACCGAGTGGAGGAGGCCGGGTCACCCTTCCGGCAGGGCGGGGAAAGGGCGGGGACAGCGGCGTAGACAGAGGGCCTGCTGGAAGAGGACGTGCAGCTCCGCCCGACTCCCCGCTTGTCCTTACGGGTGCGCCTCCGGGAGGGTTAGGCTGCCGGGCATGCCTAGTGGCAAGCGGAGTAAGAGGCCGCCTTACCCTAGTCTCCTAGGCATACCGAGAGCCCTTCATCATTGTGTGCATTGATGCCCATCGTGTCTGGGATGCTGGACTGATTGCATTCTGAAGCAGAGCTCTTTGGCGCAGGCCAGGAGCGATGTAGCAGAAGCAGGCTGATCTCCCGGAGTTCGAGGCCAATCTGGTCTACATGGTGAACGCCAGACCAGCTCGTGGTACATAGTGAAACCCTGTCTCAAAAGTTTAATTAAGTTAAAAAAGAATATAGCAGATGGGAAGAAAAAAATCATGAAAAAGAAGAGCCAAATGGGGAGTAAATCAAATAGACCATCGAACCAAAAGGGGATTCAGAAAGGAGCTTACACTTGCAGAGACAGTTTGTGTTAGCGGTAGTGCTAAAGAGCACCCGGAAGGACTAGCTGTCATTTCAGAGTACTGGGTCCACTGTAAAAAGCAAGTCTTGGCTCACCGCCCAACGTCATCACACACAATGTGAATTCAGGGTCGGCTGGGTGATGCACACACCTGGGCATGAGGAAGTACAAGCAAGAATGTTTCCGAGCTGCATGTGGAGCCTCACTCCTGCAATCTTGACCAGTGGGAGGCTGGGCCAGGATGGCTGTGAGTTCAAAGCCTGACCTCGGCAGTAGGTTAAAAAAAAAAAAAAGCAGTAAAGAACACTGACTTCTGGGAGGGCGCATGGAGGGGAGGGAAAGGCGCTGGGACTGACATGGGACGCAAGCTTGTTTCTAATTTAAATATATAATAAAAAGTGTAAAAAAAAACACTGACTTCTCTACCAGAGGACCGGGTTTGATTTTCAGCACTAACATGGCTGCTTACATCCAACTGAAACTCCAGTTCTAGGAGATCCAGAGCCCTCTTCAGACCTCCATGGTTACACATACCCATCGTGCACAGACGTATATGTGCAGGCAAAGTACCCAATCATAGAAATAAGCAAATCTTTAACTGTTTAAAGTTTCTAGAACCATTAGGCACAAAAAACTCCAACCAGACAACACACAGATGGCAACAATAGAATGGATAGTGGTACATTCATACCAAATCATATAAACAGATGATGGCAACTCAGCTACGCATTGCACTCACCAGTGGGAATGAGCAGCTGCGGCATACAACCTCATGGATGCAGGTCGAAACCATCTCATGGAGTGAAAGACTTCAGACCGATCAGCTCTGACAGATACTGAATAAGAAAAGTATGAGGAAAGAAAACACATCAGTGGTTTCCAGAACTGGAAATGGGGGTTCGCTACAAAGGTCACTGGGGTTTATGAGGAAGGGACAACTTTGTATATTCCCTGAGTTTGTGGCTGCCTGCGTCCAGTTATTCATCAGAATTCAAAACTGTCCCTGTAAGTTAAGTTCTTTAAAACAACATTCATCTATGGAGTGGGTGTGTGCCGTGGCTTACGTATGGAGGTGCAAGGATAACTTTAGGGGGTCACTGTGTGAGTCCTGAATTCAGGCCGTCAGGCTTGATGGCAGTGCTCTTACTATGGACATTGGGAGGCTGGTTATGTTTGGAAAAGGAGGACTTCTGTGCCTGCTCCCTGGTCCCCCTCCCCACTCCAGCAGTACTGAAAACGGAGCAGGGCCTTGCTTGTGCTAACCAAGAGCTTTGCATGGGCTACCCCCCTAATCCCCACTTTTTAGTTTTGTTTTCTTTTCTTTTGAGACAGGATTGCTAGGTTGTCTGATGTGGAATATTATTTTAAGTAGGCAAAGATGTGTTACATTTGTTCATGCTGGGGAATATTACTTAAACTATGTGAAGGTTTGTTACATTTGCTTCTGCTGCCTTTGTTAACAATGTAAAGATGTGTTACACGCCGGGCATTGGTGGCGCACGCCTTTAATCTCGGCACTTGGGAGGCAGAGGCAGGCAGATCTCTGTGAGTTCAAAACCAGCCTGGTCTACAAGAGCTAGTTCCAGGACAGCCTCCAAAGCCACAGAGAAACCTGCCTTGAAAAAAAACAAAAACAAAAAAAGATGTGTTACATTTGTTTATGCTGCATTTGTTTAATTGTGTAAACAAATTGTACTGCTGTTTTGCCTTGCCTGCCTAGGACATCTGATTGGTCTAATAAAAATCTGAATGGCCAATAGCTAGGCAAGAGATGGATAGACGGAGCGGTGGGCAGAGAGAATAAATAGGAGGAGAAATCTAGGCTAGGAGGAAGAGAGAGAAGAAAACGAGGGAGAAAGAAAGGGCAAGAAGTCAGGCAGCTGCCAGACAGACAGATATAAGAAGCAGTGGAAGTAAGATATACAGAAGGAAAAAAAAAGTAAAAAGCACTGAGGCAAAAGGTAGATAAATAGAAACAGGTTAATTTAAGTTAGAAGAGCTAGCCAGAAACGAGCCTAAGCTAGGCTGAACATTCAAAACTAGTTTGTCTACTTGTCATGATTTGGGAGCTGGTTGTGGTCCAAAAGAAGAAAGCCTGGTACAGTTGTTTAAGTTGGTCTTAAACTGGCTATAGTTGTAGCTAAGACTGGCTTGGACCGTGTGAGTCTCTGCCTCAGCCTCCCAGAGCAGCTGCAATTATAGGTATTTGACATCTTCCCCTGCTTGTTCCTATGCCATCACCTAAGTGGAGACAAAATAGACGCATTCACATGTTATTAATTATTCACATAGCTATAGTACTTCTGTTGGTTGTTTGGTTTGGTTTTTGGTCTCCTGTAACCCAGAACAGCATTCAACTGAATATGTCACAAAGTATGGCCTTGAACACCTGCTACCCCTGTCTCTAACTCCCAAGTGCTGGGATTGTAGGCCACCATACCCAACTACAGTTTTAAGAGTTGTGCGTTTTCTTTGTGTTCTTCTGCAGGCGCCAGATAAAAGCACACACATTGGGATGTATGATATCTGTACAAAGGAACTAACACATAGTCACTATCTGATAACCAGGCTGGCAGGGAAGTGAGGAAGTCCTGAGGGTAGATTACAAGGCTGCTGCGTGAGGAGGCTTCTCAGGGTTTAGCAGAGACAGTCAAGCAGAAAGGGCCAGGCTTGGGGATGGCAGCCTGGCAAATGTTTTTTAGACAGAATGCGATCCTGTCTCTGAGCCAAAAGGCTGGGAGCTAGAAGTGGAGAGGAAGAGTAGAAGGGAGGATGCTGTCCTAGCCAGGTTTCCATGGCGATAGCTGAGTACCACAAACTGGATATGTTATAAATTACAGGGGTGTCTTTTGCTGGTGGATCTGGAAACCAGGAAGTCTGTTTTGGGAAACATGTTGGAACCATAGCAAGAAGCCAACCTTGCCTTCCCATCTATTCATCCTGCCGTCTCCTTTCTTGGCACCATCCCCACTGTGACAGAACTTGTCTGGTACAGAGTCAGAGACCAAGCAGGTCTCACTCACCGTGTTTGTCTTTCAAATGTGAAGGCGAGCTTCACACCAGTGTTTGTGCTCTTTGCTGCTTTCTGCCAGGGTGGGGATGGGGTGTTTCCCATCAATGAAAGTGCAGTGCATTGGAGGTCATATTGGTCCCTCCATGATGGACAGTGTGCTCGCTAATTGGATGTGAACTTGACCCAGGCTAGAGTCATGTGAGGGGAGGGAACCCCAACTGAGAAAACGCCTCCGTAAGACTGGACAGCAGGCAATCCTGTAGAGCATTTTCTTAGTTAGTGATTAATGGGGGAGAGCTCAGTCCATCGTGGATGGGACCATCCGTGCTCTCATAGTCCTGGATTCTCTAAGAAAGCAGGCTGAGCACGCCGGTAAGCAGCACCCTCCATGGCCTCTGCATCAGCTCTTACCTCCAGGTTCCTGCCCTGTTTGAGTTCCCGTGCTGACTTCCTTCAGTGATGGATATTATTCAATAATACAGAGGGGTGAGCCATACAAGCCCTTTCCCCCCACAGCTTACTTTTGGTTGTGGTGTTTCATCCCTGCAACGGTGACCCCATCTAAAACAGCTGGCAGATGGCTTACTCAGCTAAATCCCTGCTGAGTCAGAAACAAACAAACAAAATGAGGGGGTGGCAAAGTGGGGAGAGGGGCAGCAAAATGTTTTCATACCTTTTATCACATCAGGAATTATGGGCCCAGGGCAACATACAATAAGAACTATTTCAACTTCATCAGCTACACCACGATTCTCTGTATTACTCCATAGAGCCAAGAAAAGAAAGCATACAGTGTGTTCAGGCAGAGAGGAACTATGAACAATGGTATCACCAAATCATACCAATTCTCCCTAGCTGAGAAGAGCGCCAGGTTCTTAAGAACTGAAAAACCAGCGCACAGCAGACAGGGTTCACCACGCCCACCCACTTCCCGTGTGAAGTAGGAAACACTCCTTGGGGGTTATGTTGGGGCTCTCTATATGCAGAAACCCTTCTTGGGGTGGGTTATACCAAACATACCAACACTGGAGGTCTTTATGTCCTGACAGTGACACCACAGTGACCGGAAGGTGCTAATTTCCCACAGGTGGTTGTTGTTTTGTTTTGTTTTTTCTAAAGAATGTCTTTAAGACTCACAACTGGTTAATGACAGAACCCATATTCTCACACCTAGTCTCCTGATTTCCTACACAGACATCCAATCCCCAGTTTCCTTCGATTCATTTTAACACACACCTATAGAAGAAGTTCCGAGAACTCTGGTAGCCTGCTTGTGTGTGATAGTAGCTGGCACTTCATGATAAACTAACACCACCATCTCTGACATTGACAGCATGAGGAGGTGCTATGAGTGATTTCATTTGTTGGTCATGCTCTCCGGCTGCCGAAGAGCTGTTTCTCATACGAATATCGTAATTTCCCTGAAAGTGTCCTAGCGTGCTGAAAATGTCAGAAGTTTCCAGCC